ATTTGGGGGTTTTAAGAGTAAGAAATTGAACCACACTTGGTGGTGTTTGTAGTTCAACTTGACCCGGTTGAAGATAGAGCGCCTCTTGATTGCTAATAATAGGGTATCAGGTGAGTGGGTTCAGCTGAGTGGGCTGGCATTGTCATGGTCCTCTGTATTCCTATTCCGTACCCTCAGTCTTGTCTCTGTGTTTTTGGCTTCTGTCTCTGGTCAAGTTTGTGTCTCTAGGCCTGGGTCAGTGTGTTCATTACTTCCTGTCTTATTTTGATAGTCTCTTGTCCAGTGTGCATTGTGTTCTGCTTTCCTTCCCCTATCTCATTAGTCTGATTTAGTTCACCTGTGCTTTGTTTTCCCCAGCTAGGTTCTATCTTCCTAATTACCTTGTGTTTATTTAAATCAGATCAAAGGTTTGAAGAGTGATCCTCACAGTTCTACATAACATTTTTATGTATTTTTACATTTCTAAGTGTTCAACCTGTCCAAGCAATCTGTTAATTTAGTGGCAGCCTTACATGGTATTTTAAGCTGCTCTGAATTAAACTGCACAATCAGCGTACAGATGTGATCTGATTATGGTGAATAACTCTGTGGGCAGGTACCACATGTTTGGACAGGATGTTCACCAGCTCAGAGTCCGGCTGCTGATGGAATCTGATGTTACCATATTCCAGAGAGATGGTGACTATGGCGACACCTGGAACTATGGCCAGGTGACCCTTAACCTGACATCAGAGGCTATGGTCAGTGAAATCACACAGGAAGTCCACAGATCAGTCAGGTGATCAATAAGTGATTCATTGGCATGACCTCTGACCTCTGAAGGTGGCGTTTGAAGCTCTGAAGAAAGGAGGGATGTTGAATGACATTGCTCTGGATGACATCACACTGACCTCTGATGCCTGTGGGCCCGCCCCCCCTGAACCCACCAATGTACCACCTCCAACAACCACACCCCCCATACCAGGTGAGAAAAAAATCCCCCCCTCCCCATACCAAGTAGATTAGATCAGATTAGATCAAATTAGATCAGATTAGATCAGATTAGATCAGATTAGATCAGATTAGATCAGATTAGCAGAACACCGACAGAAGTTGCAGAGTTAGAATATCAAATAAAGGGGAATGAGAGAGTACGAACATTGGCATAAAACTATAGCATATACACACACACACACACACACACATATATAAATACAGAATATATAATAAGAATAAATCAGAATACTAGTGAAATATACTCATTGATGAGATGCAGACAGCCAAAGTTTGTTGCACATTTCAACTATTGTAAGTCAAAAAACACTGCAGCTTAGTTGGTCCCGCCCCCCTCTGTCCTCCTGTTTCCCCGCCCCCGCACCTGCAGCAGGGAGTTAAATCGTTTGATGGCGTGTGTATTTATCTATCTATAGTTATGGATGATAGATAGATAGATTATTAGCTTGGTGTTCCAATATTCGAAAGAAGGGACTGCTCTCACAGCTAGAGATTGACGAGGTACAACACAAATGCTATGGCAAGGAGGAGTCAGGACGCCAGGTCAGGGGGGAGATATCATCACCCCCACCCGAGATTGGGTACTAAGCCCCAATTGCGACAAAAGAAGGATCGTTGAGTGTGAGAGGAACTGACCTGAAAGATAGGATCATGGCCAAGCTTGAAACCACGGCCCCCCCATAGCCAGTTACCAAGACTACATGAAGTGCCCTCAGAAGGTCTGCTAGATGATGTTAATGCAGCACTACGGATGATACCTACAGCCACGATTATCAACACTAACAAGTTGATCTACACCACGGCAGCAGTGATCAGTGAGATGCTTGGATATAAGTTGAACAGCCACATGGGGCAGCATGGAGAAGGAGGCTAGAGGCTAAGATCAAGGTAGCACAGAGGGAGGTTAGCCAACTATCAGAGCTGCAGAAAAGTGCGATGAAGAAGGTGCCTAAGAAGTACAGCAAGCTGTCCATACCTGAGGCCTTGGAAACTGCCAAGCAAAGACTCACAGCCTTGGCCAGCCGCTTGAGGAGGTACACCAGAGAGATCGAAGGCAGGAGAATAAACCAGCTGTTTTCCACAGAACCAGCCAAGGTGTACTCTCATTTGCAGGGGAACAATATGAGAACAGCACCACCATGCTGGAGACGGAACAATACTGGAAGAGCACATGGAAGAAGGACGTAACCCATAACAGCAATGCTCCGTGGCTAGTGGATCTGAGGGCAGACCACAGCAACCTCCCTGAACAGGGTCCAGTAACCATCACAGTGGCAGATATCCAAGAAAGGGTCTCCAGTATGAAGAGTTGGACAGCACCAGGCCATGACATGGTTCACACCTACTGGCTAAAGAAGCTGACTGCACTCCACGAGCACCTGGCAGCACAAATGAACCAGCTGCTAGTTGACAAGAGACACCCAGAATGGCTAACCAAAGGCCAGACAGTCCTGATCCTCAAGGACCCCAAGAAGGGATCGGTCCCCTCCAACTACCGACCAATAACCTGCCTCAGTACCACGTGGAAGCTCGTGTCATAGCGGCTAAGATGAACAGGCACATGCAGAGGGTCAGGCAAGTCCTAAGAAGTCAGCACACCTACGCCCTGCCCGTGATCAGGTACCCTGCTGAGATAATAAGTTGGCCAAAGGAGGAGATAGAAGCCACTGACATCGAGACAAGAAAGCTCCTTACCATGCATGGAGGGTTTCACCCCAAGTTCAGCACCCCGAGGCTGTACGCTAAGCGGAAGGAAGGGGACCGGGGACTGGTGAGTGTCAGCACCACGGTCCAGGATGAGACAACAAACATCCACAAATACATCAGTAAGATGGCCCCAGCCGTGCTCAGTGAATACCTCAGGCTGTAGAAACCCAAGACTGAGGAGGATGAGGAGGCGCCTTCATGAAAGGACAGGCCCCTGCATAGTATGTACCACCAGCAGATAGCGGAGATGGCTGATATCCAGAAATCCTAAAAGTGACTGGACAAAGTCGGACTGAAAGACAGCACAGAGGCACTAATCATGGCAGCACAGATACAAGCTCTGAGTACAAGATCCATAGAGGCTGGGGTCTATCACACCAGGCAAGACCCCAGGTGCAGGCTGTGTAAAGATGCCCCAGAGACAATCCAGCACATAACAGCAGGGTGCAAGATGCTAGCAGGCGGGGCATACATGGAACGCCATAACCAAGTGGCCGGCATAGTGTACAGGAACATCTATGCCGAATATGGTCTGGAGGTCCAGAAGACGCCCCCAAGGGTGGTGGAGAATGACCGAGCTAAGATCCTGTGGGACTTCCAGATACAGGCGGACAAAATGGTGATGGCTAACCAACCGGACATAGTGGTGGTAGACATGCAAAGGAAGACATCCCAAGTGATAGATGTAGCTATACCAAATTTTAGCAACGTCACGAAAAAGGAACACCAGAAGCTGGAGAAGTACCAAGGGCTCAGAGAAGAGCTCGAGAAGATGTGGAGGGTGAAGGTAACAGTGGTCCCAGTGGTTATCAGACCATTCAGTGATCCCCAAACTGGGCGAGTGGCTCCAACAGATCCCAGAAACAACATCAGAGATCTCTGTCCTAGGAACAGGTAAGATACTGCAGGACCCTGAAGCTCTCAGGCCTCTGGTAGAGTACCAGAATTTTTTTTTGATATACAGTCACCTCAAGTTCCTTGAGATAATGCCAAAGAGTGTGCAAAGCAGTAATCAAAGCAAAGGGTGGCTATTTGGAGGAATCTAAAACATAAAACATGTTTGGAGTTACTTCATACTTTTGTTTACTACATAATTCCATATGTGTTCATTCATAGTTTTAATGCCTTCAGTGAGAATCTACAATGTAGACAGTCATGAAAATAAAGAAAAACTATTAAATGAGAAGGTGTGTCCAAACAAGTTATCCCAGCAGAGGAAAACAAAAAGCCCCCGCAGCGCTGCATGCAGAGCTTGCAGTGAGAAACAAACCCCACATACCAGCTGAGAACACCCACCACAGACTAGGTGAGAAATAACCATACTTCCATACAGATAAGATATAGCAGGTAAACTGAATCTTTTGTCTGATAATTTAATGATGTCAGTAATTGTCCTTTGTACCAGTCAATTCAATTCAATTTTATTTATACAGCACAAAATCATAACAACAGTCACCTCAAGGTGCTTTATATTGTAAGGTAGACCCTACAGTAATACACACAGAGAAAAAACCAACAATCAAATGACACACCTGTGATGCTGATACTCTGCTACCTCTGTTCTCTGATCGGTCCAGCTGACTGTGGAGGCCCGTTTGACCTCTGGGAGCCAAACTCTACATTCAACACACCAAACTACCCAGAATCCTATGGGAATGGGGCAGAGTGTGAGTAAACCTGTTTGCTTTCAGCCTACCTGTATTTACACATGATCACTGGTTTCACTTGAGAACGTGTGACGTTTTTACCTGGCAGCAGGTTGTAATTACTCATAATGCTGTTCTGTTGCAGGTCTGTGGACTCTGCATGCTGGGGAAGGTCACAATATTCAGCTCCACTTCCTGGACTTTGACATTGAAGCATCCAGTGATATGGTGGAAGTGCGGGATGGGGCGGGGCCTAACTCCACCTTACTGGGTGAGGTTGTGTTTACCCACAATCCTCTGCAGCTTTATCCTCACCAGAAGACGTCCAAGTGAATTTTACGCTGACCCAAGTGATAACTTCTCTCTTTTTGTCTTACCCAGCTGTCCTCACAGGAAATGGCCCCACCCATGACTTCTTCTCAATAGCCAATCAAGTTACAGTGTGGTTCTATACAGACAGTTCAGTTTCTGGGAAAGGATTCAGAGCCAACTTCACCTCTGGGGTCAACCTGGGGTCACCAGGTGAGCTCATCACACGTGAAGAGACAGCAAAGATGTCATGGTCCTGGGTCGGTGACCCAGCGCTTTAAGTTTATTATTATCATTTTCTAGTTTATTATTATGATGATTATTATTGTTTGAGTTCTCTTTGGTCTGCCTCTGAGTCTACGTCTGTATCTCTGTCTGTCTATGGCGTCACCCCGTCTGTTTGCGAATCTGTCTGTTCAGTTCAGCGTCTTGTCTGGTTCTCTGTGTCTGAGTTTCCTGTTTTATTGTGAAGGTCTGCGTCTTATGTGAGTGTGCTCAGTTTACTATTCCCCTGTCTCATCAGCTGTGATTTCTCCCAGGTGTGTTCCCCTCCTCTGCCTCATCCCTTGATTACTGCCGTATGTATATTAGCCCTGTGTTACCTTTGTTCTCTGTCGCATCGTTAATGTCTACTCACCTTCATTCTGTACTCTGTTTTCCGTCCGTGTGTATCTGCCTGTTAGTTTGTATTTTCCCAGTTTAGTTGGTCCGCTGTTTACCTGCTAATAAAGCGGTTATTTTGAGTTCTACTTCGCCTCACTGAAACCTGCATTTTGGGTCCTTCTCTCCTTGCCTGCCGGTACGTAAACATGACAAAAGATGTACTGATTGATTACTGACAGCTCATGTGACGTTTGAACAGCTCCGTGTGCTGATGGTCAGTTCCAGTGTCAGACAGGAAGTTGCATCCATGGTAACAATCAGTGTGATGGTGTGGTCGACTGTCCCGACAGCTCTGATGAAGCCAAATGTGGTAAGTCACTCATAATCAATACTGATAATAAATACACAGTATCAGGTCATTTTGATTTCATGCTGCCCCCAAAGTGTGTGAATCAAAACAGAATCTAATCATCTGTAAATATTTTATATAATTTAATGTCGGTAGGAGCTTTTTGTGTTTGTGGATTGGTGTTGGTGGGTGTTGGTGGATGAGCTCATCGAGCAGATGTTCACTAAAGACAGTGACAAGGAAGTTCTCTAACATCTTCTTAAATTAGTCACGTGACCCCAGTTTGTCCACAGCACCTGTTCTGCTTCAGGTTTTAAGAAATTTGTGTATCAGTTATGTTGCAGGTAAATGGTTCCAGTCGGCTTCAGGTTCAAATTGTCTCTTCTCTGTTCACGGTGTGCACTGACACCTGGAGCTCTCAACTGTCTAACTTCACCTGTCAGTACCTCGGATACAGGTAACTACTTCTCTCTGGAAACTTGAGGACTTTAGTCAAACTGTTTGAGTGTTAAACACAGTTTGATTTTTAAATACAGAAATCCTGGAAACTTTGAAGAACAGCTAATTTTTTCTTACATCTGTCTGTCAGGTGAGCCTGATTGTTCCAGCTGGACTGAAGGTTCCAACAGAAACAGGAAATGTTGAAGAGGCCCGTAGTCTAAGATCTGGTATTTGTTGCAGGTCCGGGAAGGCCTCGTTCCTGCCGGCTCGGCCACAAGACTCGCCGTTTGCTCTCATCACAATCAGCAATGATGGGACACTGAAAACCAACATCAGGTACCAGAACCAAACCAGAACTAGGGCGCCTTTCAGAAACCCAAGGTTACCTTACAAAAGAAAAACTAAAAAGGAAAATAGTTATTAAAATACATAAAACAAGTTAAAATAGCTTGACAACAGACAAAATCAGCACTAAAGCGAATAAGCAGGCTTGAACAGATGTGTTTTGAGTTGTAGATAAGAGAAGAGAGTCTACATTTCTTAAGGCTGGTGGAAGAGAGTTCTAGAGCTGGGGAGCTGAACCGAAGGCTCTGTTCCCCATCGTGGTAAGACAAGCAGCAGGAACCACAAGATGAATAGGAGGTGAGGATCTGAGAGGGCAGGAAACAGTGGTGATATGAAGCAGATCACACAGATAGGAAGGACAAGCTTTGGATACACTTATAAATAATAAATAAATAATAAATACAATTTGATTTATATAGCACCTTTCTAGACAGAATCACAAAGTGCTGCACATAAGATAACAAATATATAAAAAGCTAAAACACTCAATATAAAGCAGGCAGAAATTTAACCAAAAACTGTTAAAAAGGTGAGTTTTTGGTTGTTTTTTAAAAACAACTACAGAGTCCACAGTTATTAATGTATGAGGGAGAAAGTTCCAGAGTCTTGAGGCCACAGTGGCAGAAGCTCTATCACCCATATGTCTGTGAAGGTTCTCAGTCATCCAGGTCATCGTAGTCTAAGGCGCTTGGAAAGAAAAGCGTCTGGACTTCTTTGAGTTGCTTGAAGACGTTTCACCTCTCATCCGAGAAGCTTCTTCAGTTCTAAGGTCAAATGGTGGAGAGTCCCAGATTTAAACCTAGTGGGAGTTTCCCCCCACAGAGGGACAAAAGGACCCCCTGATGAGAGCCAAGGTGTGAAAATGGGTGTGGGTCACAATCAGCCATATCACCCTTAGTTCTCATCTTAGTCTGTTTTATAGCAAGTAAGCCCTGATCAGATGACCTCAGGGACCTGCTAGGGACATCGGGCTGTAGCAGATCAGAGATGTAGGCTGGTGCCAGTCCATGCAAGGCTCTAAATGTCAAGACCAGGATCTTAAAATGTACTCTAAATTTAACAGGAAGCCAGTGTAGCTGAAATAGCAATGGTGTCACGTGTGAATACTTGGAGGATTTTGTCAGGAGCCTAGCTGCAGCGTTTTGCACAACCTGCAGACGATCCAGAGAACCTTTGCTTAGACACGTTAACAAAGAGTTACAATAATCCAAGCATGAGGAAATAAATGCATGTATAGCTATCTCCAGTTCAGGGCAAGTTAAAATAGGGCTTAACTTAGCCACATTTCTTAAGTGATAAAAACAAGACCGAACCAGAGATTTCACATGCCCATCCAATGTGAGACTCGAGTCAAAGGTGACACCTAAATTCCTGATAGAGGATTTAACATACACTGAGAGAGGACCAAGGGCTTTCACTATCTGGGATAAAAATCTGTCCGGAGCACATACGAGGACTTCAGTTTTCCCCTCAGTGAATTGGAGGAAATTTGCAGCCATCCAACGTTTGATGGAATCTAAGCAATCATTCAGAAGCTGAAGCTTAGATAAATCCTGGGGCTTAAAAGAGACGTACAACTGAATACCATCAGCATAACAGTGATAAGAAATGTCCTCAAAAGAGCCCATTATGTGCTGGAGGGGGAGAAGATGTATTAAAAACAATAAAGGCCTCAAAACCGAACCCTGAGGGACACCATAAGTAAGGGAGGTAGAGGATGACCTACAACCGGAGACCACCACAGAAAAAGATCGGTTACGTAGATATGAGGAGAACCACTCCAAGGCAGTACCCTATACACCAACCCAGTGTTTAAGCCTTTCGAGGAGAATGTGATGGTCAACAGTGTCAAAAGCTGATGTGAGGTCCAACATAAGGAGGACCAAGTATTTTCCTGCATCATTACTCATCAAAATGTCACTACAGACCCAAAGAAGAGCTGTTTCTGTGGAGTGAGCTCATGGAAAGCCAGACTGAAACTTATCAAAAATGCTATGTTTGTCCAGAGCCGCTATAAGTTTCTTAGCCACAACCTTTTCTAGAAGCTTAGTGATTAACGGTACTTTGGAGATTGGTCTGTAGCTGCTCCAAACAGACGGGTCTAGCTGAGGTCTTTTTTAAAGCGGGAGAATAGCAGCATTTTTTAAAATAAACTGGAACTATACCAGACGCCAGTAAAGAGTTGATTAGAGTGAGCACAGATGGACCAATAACCTGGAAGACATTTCAAATCAAATCAAATCAAATCACTTTTATTGTCACATCACATGTGCAGGCACACTGGCACAGCACATGCGAGTGAAATTCTTGTGTGCG